CGCAAAGACGGTGTACGAGGAGGTGAAGAAAGACAAGAAACACCGGTATATCATATATCACATCAAAGACGAGAGGGTAAGCGAGCGGAGTGTGTGATGGCATCGGAGTGTCTGATGGCATCGTTGTCTCCATTGTCTCATTGTGTCCATTGTCTCATTGATGTGTCTGATGGACAGGTGATCGACGTGGAGTCGACCGGAGCACGTGATGCCACATACTCTGAGTTCTTGGAGAAGCTGCAGAACTACAAGAACGAGTGCAGATACTGTGTGTTTGACTTCCCGGCTAACATTCCCGTCGACGCCGGACAGGAGAAGTCGTCGATGAGTGTGGACCGACTGGTGCTGATGACTTGGTGTCCCGAGAGCTCGAAGATCAAGCAGAAGATGCTCTACTCGTCATCCTATGACGCCCTGAAGAAGGCGTTGGTGGGCGTGTATAAGTACGTGCAGGCCTGCGATTTCGAGGAGGCCTCCCAAGAGACCATTGAGGAGGCCTTCCGAAAGGGCAAGAACTGAACACCCATTTCTTAATCTCATCCCTGAGTTATAACTAAATTTATAATTATTATTGTATTGAAAGTAATAAGTGATCCGATCAATGACAACAAACTTTAACCGAATAATAAAATTCAAAACAAATTTCTGTCAATATTTTTAATTTATTATATTAAATCCAATGTCTTTTGAAAGGTTTTAATTAAACTATGTTTTTGTCATTATTTTCAATGACGCGAACAAAATATATTTATTCGATAGTAATGAAAGTCTTTTGAATTTTATAATTGATTACAAAAAACAATGGTTTCTGAAGAATACATTTCTTATATTTAAAAAACTTACAAATTTCATGTCAATTTAAAACAACGCTTTTGAAAGCAACGCATTTTTGCTTTCAATTGATTGATTGATATGTAATGCGAGAAAAGTAAAAAGTTTTCTCGACTTTTAGCTTAATTTGTTTTTTGTAATTAAATGAATAAATAAATAAAATTTTTGAAATCATATCAAAATTAATGGCATTTTGAGAGCATTTACCATTAGTTAAGTTTAAAATTAATTCGGAAATTATTTTAAACCCACATTTGGGTACAAAAATATTTAAGAAATGGTTTGATTAAGAGATGATTTATAGGAAATGCATTTGAATGGAAGGAATGGTTAATAAGTTAATTACTTTGAGAATCATTTTGGTTAACAGAGTCGAGTGTCTTAACTGCCATTTGGATGACTCCGTCTCGACTATCATTACCGCCGATGAAGCCACTGGAGTGTACAAAAACACATCCATCTATGCCTGCAATTTGGCTCAACTCTTGGTCTCGAAGGCCCCTCCAGTCGGCCTTCAGAGGGACTCTCAGTTCGTAAGAATGTGATGAAAGAGGGACCGCCTGTACCCTCCACTTGCCTTTCGTGTCCTTAAATATAACGAACTTAACGTCGGGTTTAATGGAATCACTCTTTTCCAGAATAAAGAGGTGTTCCTTCCATGGGATCACTTGTTTTAATTCAATTATGTGTCCGCTTTGGTGGACATCAAGACGCTCCTCAATGGCTGACTGGACG